ACCCCACAGACAGCCTCCAGAAACACTACAACCACTGCACTCACATACTGGGCACCACGTATGGGCTCCCAGACGACCTGAATCCGCAGGGAGGTATCCAAACGGCCACGGTAACTTACATATGATTATTATTATTATTTAGTTATTTATTTATTTATTTATTTTGAACAGAGTCTCGCTCTTGCCGCCCAGGCTGGAGTGGCAGGTGGCCGGGATGCTCAGCTCACGTTGCAAGGTCCGCCGCCCAGTGTTCACGCCATCTCCTGCCTCAGCCTCCCCAATTAGGCTGGGACTTAACAGGCGCCTCCACCTCGCCCAGGCTAGTTTTTTTTTGTTCTTAGTAGAGACGGGGGTTTCACCGTTGTAGCCAGGGATGTTATGGCTCGATTCTCCTGGACCTCGTGGATCCACCGGTCTCGGCCCTACCCAAGAGTGGCTGGGGATTACCAGGCATTGAGGCCACCGCGGCGGCACTAGAGTTACCACCTGGGGGCTTTGTTGATCACTGGGGAACCCATAGCGTGTGTCACCGAAAGCCCTGGAGGAGCGGCCTCTCAGGGAGAGAGACTGGGGGGCTGTGAAGTCGGCCGTTGTGGTTCTGTGGAAGTGATGGGGGCACATGGGTGAGTGGGAGTGGAGTTTATGGGGTTCCGTGGTTGTGTGGTCCGGAGGTCTGTGAAGCAGGCCTGTTGGATTCAGTGATCTGGGGACATCTTGGGATGTGGAGCTGGAGAATTCTCAGGTGGTCACTGTGAGTGACTGGGGGACTTGGGACGCTGGAGGTTGGCATGGGCGTGTGGCTGCGGAGTTCAGTGGTTTCAGTGTTCTGTCGGGGGTGTGTGTGTTGATTGAGTTCCCTCCTCTGGGACTTCGGTCAACTCGCAGGGGGCCTGGGGAGGGGCCATGTTGGTGGCGTCTGGAAGGCGGATCCGAGGCGTAATGGTTGTGGAAGGCCCTCCTCGTGTGTGACAAGTCTTTTTGCCATTTTGGCCCTCTCCTCTTGTAGCATTGTGGGGACCGCGTTTGGGATCAGTGGGACTACTCTTTTTTACGTGATTATTTCCCTTTTTAAAGTTTCTCAGCCGGCGGCGGTGGGCTTCAAAGCCTTTGTAATTTCCCCCCAGCACTTTGGGATGGGGCGAGACGGGGCGGATCACGAGTTTTCAGGACGATCGGAGACCATTCCTAGCTAACCCCGGGTGCAAAAACCCGTCTCTACTAAAAAATACAAAAAAGCTTACCGGCGATGGCGGTGGCGGCGCCTGTAGTTTCCCCAGCTACTCGGGAGGCGAGGCAGGGAGGAATGGCGTAAAACCCGGGAGGCGGGAAGCTTGCAGTGAAAGCTTGAGATCCGGCCACTGCACTCCCAGGCCTTGGGGGGAACAGACGTGCGAGAACTCCGTCTCAAAAAAAAAAAAAAAGTTCTCAGTGACCCCGTTGGCTTTCAGGTCTTCTCCTTGTAGAATTTTCCCCTTGCTGGTTGTACCTCCTGGGCCTCTTCCATCCCTCCTGATGACCTCTGGCTCCTCTGCCCAAGACCTTTGCATCTGAGGTGCCTGGAGTGGTATGGTCGGCCCAGCCTTCGGTGGTAGGCTCCTCCTGCTTCAGGCTCAGCTAAAAGCCACCTCCTCCCACAAGCCTCTCCGACGTCTGGGAGGAATGTCTTCTGTCCATCCATCACTAGGTCACAGTTAAAATTTCCCTTTTTTTTTTTTTTGTTTTTTGAGACAGAGTCTCGCTACTTCGCCCATGCTGGAGTGCAGTGGCATGATCTCAGCTCACTGCAACCTCCATCTCCCGGGTTCCAGTGATTCTTCTGCCTCAGCCCCCTGAGTATTTGGGATTACAGGCGCCCACCACCATGCCCAGCTAATTTTTTGTATTTTTAGTAAAGATGGGGTTTCACCATGTTGGCCAGGCTGGTCTCGAACTCCTGACTTCAAGTGATCTGCCCACCGCCTCAGCCTCCCAAAGTGCTGGGATTATAGGTGTGAGCCACCGCGTCCGGCCCACAGTTAAAATTTCTTCTGAGCGC